GGGTGGCAGGGCACGGAGAGGGTAGGTGCCCCGGGCTGGGGAAACGAGTCAAGGCGGAGGAGACAGCAGCGCGACCAGAGCCGGAACCAGGGGACTGCGGAGCGGCGGGGACCACAAGACCGGATAATATGGTCAGTTGGGGGAAAAACAAGGCAGAAAATGGGGTGGAGCAGAAGGAGGGAGAGGGGGAATAGGAGGGAAAAGGAGCGGGGAGGGGGGACGTGTGAAGGCAGATGAGCGAAAAGGGGGTGAAGGGGCACGGAGGTCAGAGGGAAAGAGGGAAGGGGGGGGGGGTGCTGGGGGCGAGATAAGCATTACGACGGCGGAGAGCGGAGAATAAGGAGCATGGGGGGAGAGGGGGTGGGGGAGATAACGTCCGGGTGAACATTGCGAAGAGCAATGCGTAGGAGAGGGCGGGGTGAGGGCGGGAGCGGGGGAGCGCGGGCCTCCAGAGGGTACGAGAGTCCGCGACACGCCGACACGCCCCCCGTCCGTCCGACCCGACACCTCGGAATCAGACTGGAATCAGACCAGGGCCCCCAGACCCCAGGCGGGGAGCCGAGCTCGTGTCGTGTGGGACTAAGTTGAGCCGCACTATATGTGCTGTAAACCCGCCAGGGCGCGCCAGGGCGGGCTAGGGCGGGCTAGGGCGGGCCAGGGCGCGCCAGGGCGGGCGGGTAGATGCCTTCAACTAGACTAGTGCGGCACCAGCGCGGGAGGGCCTCGGTGGCGGGCGGGGCATACGTCACTGGCCCATCAGGCAGCTGCTACCCTGCTGGCAGACGGGTACAAATCCTGAACCCTCCAACCCCCCACCCCCCCTCCTCGCCTCCCTCCCTCTCCGTTTCCCGCCCACTATAGCTCTCTCTCTCTCTCCCGCTCCGAGCCGCGCCCTGGCCCGCGTTAATCATGCACACCTGCACAATGAGGCGTTGCGCACACCCGCTCAACACTTCCACAGATAAATAAAACACTTTGCTGTTTCCCCCTTTCCTCTTCCCTTCCACTCTCGCCAGGAGTTGTTCACTACCTCCAAACTTTTTTTTTCCACCCTTCTCCGCTTCCTGCTCGTGCAAAGGCTCTCACACTTTTATAACATATCAGCCGCAGCCAAAACTCTTCGCCGCGTTTGCCGCGCCCGGGGCCAAGGGCTGGACGGGAGGCTTGCCGGAGGCTGGCCGGAGGCCCGTGCAGTTTTATTGCAGCAGACTTTTCTGTTTCAGCATGGCAGCGCCAGCCCGGAACTTTGATTTTACTGTAGGGTCAGCGCTATAGGAGCCGGCCTAGCAGCAGCCGGGCCGATCCCAGCCCGGCGCTCCCGGCGGCCGAGCGACGGGGAGGCTTCAAAGACGGAGCTGCGCCGATCCCGAGCCCAGCAGCCCAGCCCGCCCCGGGCCCCGGGCATCTCCGGGCCGCCGACAGACGATCGGGGGAGGTAAAAGGTCGGGGGCGCGGTGGGAGGGCGCTGCAGTGCAATACGATCCATTACGCAGATTGGGACCAAACGACTGGCCTCGAGCGCAGCCTCCATATTGTGTCGGGAGCGCAGCGGAGCGCGTGGCGCAAACGGCCGGCGATACGGCGACTAGAGGAAATGGGAAGAGCAGCAGCGCGCGGGGGGGCAGAGAGCCGGACAAGTCAACTGGAAAGTTGCGTCAGCGCCGGGCGCGGTGAGACACGCCCGGCCGGACCGACGCGTCGCCCCCGCGGCATCAGGGAGCGCGGCCCGACAGTCTGCCCCCGCACCAAGCTAGCGCCAGCCAGCGCCAGCCGGCCATCAAACATTTCACGACCGTGCATTTTTATTCAAACCGTCTTTTCCGATTTATTTGCAGGATATGACACTTCCGCCGCTGCTGCCGCCGCCGGTCGCGAGGGTCGCGCGGCGCCCACCCCCTCACCATCATGTCACAATACTGCCCCTCCGTCCCCGAGGCCTGTGTGCCCGCCCTATACAATCCGTCTGCAATGCGTAAGCAAGCA